GCCTCCCAAGTAGCTGGGATTACAGGCATCTGCCACCATGCCTGGCTAATGTTTGTATTTTAGTAGAGATGGGATTTCACTATGTAGGTCAAGCTGGTCTCGAACTCCTGACGTCAAATGATCTGCCCACCTCAGCCTCCCAAAGTGCTGGGATTACAGGCATGAGCCACTGGGCCAGGTGCTTTTTTTTTTTTTTTTTTTTTAATTTTTTGAGATGGAGTCTTGCTCTGTTGCCCAGGATGAAGTACAGACCAGCTCACTGCAACCTCCGCCTCCCGAGTTCAAGCATTTCTTCTGCCTCAGCTTCTCAAGTAGCTGGGATTAGAGGTGCACACCACCACACCTGGCTAATTTTTGTGTTTTTAGTAGAGACAAGGTTTCACCATGTTGGTCAGGCTGGTCTCGAACTCCTGACCTCAAGTGATCTGTCTGCCTCAGCCTCCCAAAGTGCTGGGATTACAGGCGTGAGCCACCAAGCCTGGCCTGAATTTACTTGTAATGCCTCTGTTCTTTGAGCTCTGGCAGGGAAGAAGTGCCTGGATCCCTTGAGGTGGGCTCTAAGCATGACCTATGGAAAGGCAGTGACTTTTGCTGCTGCAGCAGTGGGGAGAAGCCACTCTGAGCTGACTCTGTCCAACCCAGGAATGCCGTGGTCTGAGAACAGCCTCCCAGGCAGGAGGGAAGCCCAACAAACGCCGGCTTTGTTTCTGCTACCGAGTTTCCCAGTTTAGCTTCTGCTCCCCCGACTCCACTGCCCAACTGGTTTAACCTTTCCTTAGCCCAGCAATCAGAGCCTCCAGGCCCAGGAGGATGAAAAGAACATGGAGACAACGGGAGGCTCCAAATGGAGTAGCCCTCTGCCAGCTCACATCCCTCTTTCAGGGGCTGCAGCTTGGACATCCCAGGACTGGCCAGGTTAGAGGCAAGGAGGATATATTTGCTTTTGTTCATTGTGTTCCTGGTGGAAACCTGGGACTTGCTCAGGAGAATGGGGAGGAAAGGCCAATGAGTCAGAGGCTTGGGGTTGAGAACAGGTGTGGAGAAGGGAAAGGGAGCTAGTCTGATACACATCATCTTGCACTCCAGGACTATGGAGTGTTATCCTCTGAAGGAGATTTTCCATCTGTGTAGTCTCCATGGAAAATATAATGAGTTAACCTATGGGCAGGGGGGATTCTGGCTTAGAGAATAGGGTAAACTTCATAACTCTGGAAGGTAATACAGGTGCTCCTTGACTTCCAGTAGGGTTATGTCTGATAGGTTTATATGATATGCATATCAGGAGATAACCCTGGTGTAAATGGAAAATGTTTTAAGTTGAAAATGCATTTAATACACTTAACATACCAAACATCATAACTTTGCCCAGCCTACCTTAAACATGCTCAGAACGCTTACATTAGCCTACAGTTGGGCAAAATCATCTAACACAAAGCCTATTTTATTATTTTTATTTATTTTTTGAGGCGGAGTCTCACTCTGTCACCCAGGCTGGAGTGCAGTGGTGCAATGCTTCTCTTGTCATCTGTGTCAGGCCTGGGTTTCCCTCCTAGTCGCCTTCTTCATGACACGGGCCAGGACACAAGTGCTGAGTTTTGTAAGGAAAAGGTACAATAAAGACGCCCCTAGCTTTTGGGAAAGGAGCACCTCTCAGAGTTCAGATTAAGGAAGGAATCAGCATTCCTGGGTTGGACAGAGTCAGCTCAGAGTGGCTTCTCCCCACTGCTGCAGCAGCAAAAGTCACTGCCTTTCTATAGGTCATGCTTAGAGCCCAACTCAAGGGATCCAGGCACCTCTTCCCTGCCAGAGCTCACTGCAACCTTCACCCCCCGGGTTCAAGTGATTCTCATGCCTCAGCCTCCCTAGTAGCTGGGATTACAGGTGCCCGCCACATGCCCAGCTAATTTTTGTATTTTAGTAGAGATGGGATTTCACTATGTAGGTCAAGCTGGTCTCGAACTCCTGAGCTCAAATGATCCACCCACCTCAGCCTCCCAAAGTGCTGGGATTACAGGCGTGAGCCACTGTGCCTGGCCCACAAAGCCTGTTTTATAATAAAGTGTTGAATATCTCGTGTAATTTATTGACTACTGAAAGTGAAAAACAGAATGGTTTTATGGTACTTGGAAAAGGGTTTCTACTGAACGTGTATGGCTCTCACACTCTTGTGAAGTCTAAAATCTTAGTCAAATCTTTGGTCGGGGACTGTCTGTATAAGATTCCTTCCTTAATCTGAACTCTGAGAGGTGCTCCTTTCCCAAAAGCTGGGGGCGTCTATTGTACCTTTTCCTTACAAAACTCAGCACTTTGTGTCCTGGCCCTTGTCATGGAGAAGGCAACTAGGAGGGAAACCCAGGCCTGACACAGATGACAAGAGAAGCATTGTGAAGACAGTTGGTGTCACAGGCACCTTGAAAAAAGGCCACAGCTAGATACCTCATCTAAGAGATCAACTTTCTTGGAGTCAGGATGGAATGTGAACCTCCCTTAAGTAGTGGTGTTGGAGAATATAAGAGCCTCTAAAATCTATAGACAGAAAGTCTTAGCTGGAATAGTTGGCTTTAGGATTGAGCCCTCTTAACTTCTTGAGGTAATTTAATAGGAGGATGAGTGGCAGACAACACTCCTCCGCTCTAACTGAAAACCACCCTGGGGAGGTATGAACCTTGATCTCAGGATTGTGTGCAGATCTGTGAGCGGAGAGGAAAGTAAGCACTGATCCCACATCCTTCCTGGAGGCTGGGTACCCAAACTGAAGCTCCTCCCTAAAAGGCAATACAGACAGTAGGTCAGCCACCAGCGTGTTCCAGGTGCCCCCACCCCTGGAGACCAGCCCTCCAGCCCTCCCTCATTGTGCAGACTTTCAGCTGGCATCAGCTCACCCACACACCCCACCCTGGTACCAGGAGGAGCCAGGTGCCTTGATTTCCGCCCCCTTCCTGTACTCGACTTTGGCACTCGAAGAAAGTAAGTGGGAAACAGGTATAAGAATTTCTACAGGCCGGGCGCAGTGGCACACGCCTGTAATCTCAGCACTTTGGGAGGCCGAGGTGGGTGGATCACTTGAGGTCAGGGGTTCAAGACCAGCCTGGTCAAAATGGCAAAACCCTGTCTCTACTAAAAATACAAAAAGTAGCCGGGCGTCGTGGCAGACACCTATAATCTCAGCTACTCAGGAGGCTGAGGCAGGAGAATCACTTGAACCGGGTGGGCAGAGGTTGCAGTGAGCCGAGATTGTGCCATTGCACTCCAGCCTGGACAAAAAAGCGAAACTCCATCTCAAAAAATAATAATAATAATAATTTCTGGAAAACTGGAAGTAATGGAGCGATTCAGTGAAAGGATGAGCAGTTACCAAGGCTTAGTCCCTTGAGAGAGCAGCTAAGAGTAGGAGAAGCAGCGTATGCCAGAGGCAGGAGTACTGGGTCCCAGCCCCAACTCTACCACTCACTGGCTGTATGACCTTGGGTAAATCATGCCCCCTTCTACTCAGGAGGCTGAGGCAAGAGGACTGCTTGAGCCTGGGAGTTCAAGGCTTCAGTGAGCCATGATCATGCCACAGCACTCCAGCCTGGGTGACAGAGTGAGACCCTATCTCAATGGAAAATAAAAATTAATATATATATAAAGTATATATAAAATAACTCTGCCTCTTGGAGCCTGTTTCCTCATCTGCACAATCATGAAATTGTTTAGAGGATTTTTGAGGACCCTCACCGGTATGATAGGGCAGGTATTACCCCTTTGTTCTTATGCAGTGAGGAACATGAGGAACAACCACTGTCACTTTCTCATCGTGTGGGTGAGATCCAGCCAGGTGGGGAAGGGCACACACAGTTCTACATCCGGCAGCAGCTGCTCTCTTCCACTCACCGACAGAGAGAATTTTTGAGTAAGGATAAACCATAGATTACCTAATTTGATGCTCTCATTTAATACATCAGGAAAGACACAGGGTGAAGCGGCTTGTCCAAGGTTGCCCACCAGTGGCAGCTAGCATATTTATTTATTACAGACCCAGCATGTATGTTCCACTGTTCTCACATGTCTCATTTAATATCTGCATTCTACAGATAAGGGGATGAGGCTAAATAGGTGACACAAGGTCCTGTAACTAGTGACTTGGCAGAGGCAGCCAAGATCTTCCAGCTCTAACATGCCCTTTCTACTAGCCCACAGGAGGCAAAGAGGGCTCTCCGTTACCTCAGGAAGTCGGACGTCAGCCCCAGCTGTCCTCTGCCCCAGGGAAAGCAGTGAAGGTGAGTCAGCCACTGCCCCGCCCCAGAAGCTGTTATCTGGGAAGAGAGTGGGGGAGCTGGTCAAATATACTGCCGCCTGGTATCCACAACAAGCCATGAGCCCCGGATATGCTGAGTTCCTTGGTCACCCTTGTTCCTGGTGCTGACACTAGGGCCCTTCTCAGTGCAGCTGCCCTTGTAACCGCTCCACCCTGTACTTTCATCACAAAAAAATACAATCTTTCCTCCTCCATTGCTGTAACCTGCCTCTTAAAGGGACAAACAATCAGGTTTTTTTTATTGTTGTTTGTTTGTTTGTTTTGAGATGGAATCTTGCTCTGTTGCCCAGGCTGGATTACAGTGGCGTGATTTCGGCTGGCTGTAACCTCTGCATCCCGGGTTCAAGCGATTTTCCTGCCTCAGCCTCCCCAGTAGCTAGGATTACAGGTGCACACCACCACCCCCGGCTAATTTTTATATTTTTAGTAGAAACGGGGTTTCTCCATGTTGGCCAAGCTGGTCTCTAACTCCCGACCTCAAGTGATCAGCCCGCCTCGGCCTCCCAAAGTGCTGGGATTATAGGCATGAGCCACCATGCCCGGCCGACAATCAGTTGTGAAGCCTAATTTGAGAGGGCAAAGGACGCCACTGACCCCGCTGAGGACCCTGCTGTGAAGTGGGTTTCCAGCTGCAGCTGTTTCTTTCCTGGAGATGTCCGCTTTCTCCCCTCCCCAGTTTCTCCCTGACCCTGTTGGAGGAAGGATGAACCTTCCCTGGAGTGTCAGGTTCCCATATACTCTCTCCTCAGGGTGACCCCAGCATGGCTTCTTGTACCTGTTTCCACACAAGTCTGAATTCTGTAGCCGCCCTGTGTTCAGGGAATGCTGAAGACAGAGGGACCCAGGAGTCCCTGGGATCAGTAGTGGCATTGAAAGAGTTAAGGGCCTGGGCACAGCACTGTTTAGGGTGTTTGAAGTAGGGCGGGGAAGGGAAGGGCTGCAGTGGATGAAGAGGCAGCTGGTCTGGACTGGAATGAGTTCCCCCTTATGCAAACTTCTGGACCATGAGCAGCTCCCTTAAAAGGACCAAGAGAGAGGGGACCCCCACCAAGGTGCTGGACTGGTTCTTAAAGGGGCCACCTGAAGCAGGACTTTTTCCCACACTGAAGTCACCAACTGAGGGCAGAAACAGGTCTCCCATCTTTGGGATATCTCCCAGGTCTGGTGAGTTTCCCTGTTCCCTTTCCTGGGTCCTTGCCCTCAGACCCTCTCTTGCCCCACCTGTCTGGCATGGCACCCAGAACACATGCCAGGAAACTGGCAGGAGGTAGAAGAGGACTGGTTGGTCTTGACCCTTTTCTTCTCTATCCCCCACAAATAAAGGGTTAGTCTGGGTCCCAAGCCCCTGGTAGAATAAGCATACAGCTACAGGTCCAGCAGAACGGAAGAGGACAGGGTCCCTAAGTTTAGTTTACTAACCAATTAAAAAAAAAAAAAAAAAGGTGGTCACACTTGGAAGCCCAGAGCAGCAAAATTCCTGACTGACTTATGAACCTAGTACATCAAGGACATGGGGATGATTTAGGGAGAGTGTCTGAGATGCCTGTGGCTGACTTAGTAGAGGGGTGTGTGGTTAGATTAGGGGGCTGGGGACGCCTTGAAATTCCAGAACTAAGTACAGATGATAATGCCTCTCAGGAGACAACCCGGAAGCTGATAGGACAGATGGCTTTTGCCCATACCGGCCTCTGCCCCACTAAGGGATGGTAGCCAGGGCCCACCATTGTATTTGTGCATAGACTCTTCTGGGTCCTCTTCTCTGCGCCTGACACTTAAAAGGTGCTAAAATAATCTTTGCTGAATGAATGGATCCTCTATATCTTTTACTTTGCTTTCATTTTTGGAATTGTGGCACTACTCTCTGACAGTGGACAGGAAAGTCAGAGAAGGAGAATGAGTTCCAGGACACCAGCGTTCAGCCAAGTCAGGCAGATGGGTGAAGCAGGAAGGTATCAGAGACTTGGGTGCTCCTGTCTTGGAATGGGGTATCTAGGGAGCACATGGGAAGGGATTGTAGCTCCTGGAGCCTTCTTTATCTGAGGCGAAGAGAAGCTCTGCTTTAGCCTTCTTTGCAGGGCACTGTTGGATTAATGGTTTACTTTCTACAGGAGAAGAAATGTTAGGTTAAATTTTGAACCATCAAAGAGTTTTTGTGACCCTGTGTCCCACCCCTAGGGCCAGGAGATTTGGAGGAGAGCCAGTACAACATGTCATTTGGCCTCTCCTTTCCTCCTCAGCCTTTATTATCTGATTCTCCTGGGTCTTCTCCAATATTGGCCACCTCGCTAGATTTAGGATCCCAGAGCCAGACTCAAAGCTTCTCAGGCTGCGAAAGGGCCAGCCAGCATTGCCTCCAAGCAACAGCACCTGGCTGTTTGGTTGCTGTCAGCAGTTCCTCCCCCATGTTCAGTGTTCGCTGGCAGCAAACATAACCAGAGACCTGCCTGTGCCCCATCACCTCATTCAGGGGTCTAAGCTAACACAGGGAGCAGAAAGGATACACTGAACTTCTTTGGGACCCCTATCTCATTTCTTTTGGAAGCTGCTTCGTTTCTTTGGCTGGGGTCAGGGAGGTAGGAATAAGGTGGGTAAAAATAATGTTGCCAGATTTCTTTCAAAGCTAGCCACTTGGCCTGGTGTGGTGACTCATGCCTGTAATCCCAGCACTTTGGGAGGCTGAAGTGGGTAGATCACCTGAAGTAAGGAGTTCAAGACCAGCCTGGGCAATATTGTGAAACCCCCATCTCTACAAAAATACAAAAATTAGCCAGGCACAATGGCGGGTGCCTGTAATGTCAGCTACTTGGGAAGCTGAGGTGGGAGAATTGCTTGAACCTAGGAGGCGGAGGTTGCAGTGAGCCGAGATCGCGCCATTGCACTCCAGCCTGCCTGGTGACAGAGCAAGACTATCTCAAAAAAAAAAAAAAAAAAAAAAAAGGAAAAAAAAAGCTAGCCACTTGATAGGCTGGGCACAGTGGCTCAGGTCTGTAATTTCATCTCAGCACTTTGGGAGGCCAAGATGGGTGGATCACTTGAGGTCAGGAGTTCAAGACCACCCTGGTCAACATGGTGAAACACTGTCTCTACTAAAATTACAAAAATTAGCCGGGCGTGGTGGTGCACGCCTGTAATCCCAGCTACTCAGGAGGCTGAGGCAGGAGAATCACTTGAACCTGGGAGGCAGAGGTTGCAGTGAGCCGAGATCGTGCCACTACACTCTAGCCTGAGCAACAGAGCGAGGCCGTGTCTCAGAAAAAAAAAAAAAAAGCTAGCCACTTGCTTTCTTTGAGAGCTTGTTTTCTGGTTTCAGAAAAGAATTCAGGCTCCATAATGTGATGGATCAGCTTTGAAAACTCATCTCCGCCTCCTATCAGCTCTGTGACCCCCAGCCAGTTACTTAAGCTCTCTATGCAGCCTGTTTCTTCATATGTAAAATAGGGATAATAATGTCTGTTTCAAGAAATATTTGTGAGGATGGCACAAAATGGATGTTGGCACTCATTATCTCTCTCTATATAGGCCTCAGATGACATTTAGGAAGTAGGTATGTTGGCTGGGTGTAGTGGCTCAACACAGTGAAACTCCCTCTCTACTAAAAATGCAAAACTTAGCTGGGTGTGGTGGTGGGTGCCTGTAATCCCAGCTACTTGGGAGGCTGAGGCAGGAGAATCGCCTGAACCCAGGAGGCGGAGGTTGCAGTGAGCCGAGATCGCACCATTGCACTCCAGCCTGGGAGACAGAGCAAGACTCCGTCTCAAAAAAAAAAAGGAAGTAGTTATATTGAGGTCTCAATGTCTCAATGTCCCTTCTTCCCCAAAGCTTGTAGCCGAATGCCTGGTGTGCAGTGATCCTTTCATGTCCCTCTTTTATCTCTTTTCTCCTTTCTCCTCCTTCCTGAGATTTTGAGACCCGGTTGCTCTAGATTAGGAGTTGGCAAAGTTTTTCTGTAAAGATCCAGTTAACAAATATTTTAGGCCAGGCGTGGTAGCACATGACTGTAATCCCAGCACTTTGGGAGGCCAAGGTGGGCATATCGCTTGAGCTCAGGAGTTCAAGACCAGCCTGGGCAACATAGCAAGACCTTGTTTCTACAAAAATTACAAATATTATCCCGGTGTGGTGTGGTG